AAACAATAAATAGCTACCCCCCCCCCAGACCAGCCCCCAGACGAGCCCCTCAGTACAATGTGTTTGCCTCTTACTCGTGTGGGAGGTCACACATTCTACTCCACAGGAGCAGGTTGTTATTTGTTTAGGGGGGGGGGGTGCCGGGCCTGCTTCTGTGCTGGTTGTATCACCAGCAGGTGGCAGCACACACACACACACACACACACACACACGCTCAGAGCATAACTGATCGTTTGTCTTCTTTTTCAGTTTGACAGCCACTTTTTAGATATTTCTGCAAATAGTTGCATCTGTTATTTTTAGCCTTTGTAGAAACTAACTAACTGTCTTGATTGGCAGCTTGCGGGTGTGAATCTTGGGGGTTTGGATGACGTGCTGTGAAGCCGCGTGGGCTGATCACCCTCCGATTGAGCGGACCAAGCGGAGCTGCCTGTCTGGGTCTATTGATCAGCTGCTGCACAGCGATCGATGCGTCAGACGGGACAGCTGGCTTCTCGGGCCTGTGGAGGAGGAGAAGAACGGTGTCTGAATACGAGAGTCCGTGAGAAGATGACTTCTCCGTAGTGACCAGCAGGGGGCGACGGCAGCGGTGCCATAGAAGTCTATGAGAAAATGACTTGATTTATTCCCTCAGTAAACATTTAAACACGAGTTTATGGTCTCAGTCTCTAGTTTCATTTAGTAAATTATGGATGCTTTAGGGCGGGACTACTGTGATTGACAGGTCTCTATCCAGGTGGCTGCTCTCCTCTCGTGTCAGTTCTTTAGGTCGCTGGTTAATCGTTATTAAAATAAGGGCAAAGCTCTTAACACGGCACTAGAACGTGCTGTAATAAACAAATATGTTTATTAGTAAGTAAATACACTTCTAGACCGTTAAAACATTTACCATCGGTTTGCCTCCAACAAGTTTTAAAATACAAATGTGTCCATAAATCAGGCGGAGTATTAAATGTGACCCAGGAACATGCTAACAACCCGGGGGGAGTTCAGCCCCCCCCCCGCTAGCTGGTTGCCTCAGGCCTCCGTATGTCCAAACCCACACACACACACAGACACGCACACACATGCAGGCTCAGCGCCATGGCGTGCTGAGTGCAGCAGTTTGTCGCCCCCACAAACCCACTCGCTGTGAGTTCTAGTCGCTGCGGTTCTCTGTTTCTCTCTCTTGTTTCTTTACATGAAACTCAACCTTTTCTTTGAATACTTGACCTGTTTCTTTACAGAGCGCGCACAGAGGGGATAAAGTAATCAGTCAATATGAGAGATCATAGATGATTGCATTGTGGTTTATGGAGCTCTGCACTTTTCCCGCCCTCTACATGTTGTTGTTTTACGCCCTCTTGTGCGTCGCACATTAATGCAACAAACGGCGCGCTGCTAAACGACAATGTGAAAAAAAGGTTCACTAAAATAAACACAAACTCTCAAATGTCAAATTATTCCCTCCAAACGCTTCAAAGTGATATCAGTATGACACAAAGCTCTGTGTGTGTGTGTGTGACGTTATTTGTGTAAATAAGCAGTCCACCTGTCAGTAGCGCACGCACACACACACACACACACACACACACACAGCCTTATGAGAGATTGTGAAGCGTATTATATTCACCGCTCTGCTTGTGCATATTAAATATGTTTTGAAGTCTTTGCGTCTTTCTGTGCTTGCAGGACCTGCACGCCATCTACTGCCACCTCTACCACATGGACGTCCTCTCTCACCTCAGGGAGCATCAGCTACGGTGAGCCTAGCCTAGCTTAGCTTAGCCCACAGGCTCTCCCCGGTAGGTGTAGATGGTCGTCGGCCTGCTGCGTGCCGGCTCTGCAAAGGCCTTTTCCTTGTTCCCTCTCAGGTGTGTTTTAGACGCTTTTGTTCGCGTCACGCTGCTGTTGCACGTGAAACGATGCGCGTGGAACCTTTAACTCGCGGGTTATTGCCGAAGCCGCCGTGTGTTCGCGTCTTCACGTGCAGTTTAACCTGCGTAAACATCTGTGTCTTTGTGTCTCAGGGCGATGTGCACCTCGGCCAGGTACGAGCGCCACGAGGCCAACCACATCCTCTTCTAGTAAGTATGAGGCGCCGAGCTCCTTTTTTTACTCTTCTACCTCCTTCTGGTGTCTTTTTAAAAAACGTTCCTGGACCTGGTCTTAAGTACCCGAAGCACCAGGCGCAGCAGCAGCAACACACCAAGCGATGAGGTCGAGGTTGGCGAAAGGTCGCGACCCGAAGCTCTGATGTGCCCTTTGAGTTCCCCTTTCAGCCTGTTGGATGAATGAAAAATGAAACAACCTCCAGCCTTAAACACCCGAGCGTGATATTTAACGTCCGTCTGGTTTGTTGTGTCCAGCGCTGACAGCACGGCGACCTGCTGGTACATCCTGCTCTCTGGATCCGTCTTCGTCAAGGAGCACATGTACCTGGCGAGGTGCTGGTATGTAACCGCACACGCACACGCACACACGACGCAGCTCGTCCTCGTTGTCAAGTGGAGTGTGTGTGTGTGTGTGAATGTGGGTCTGTGCGTCCATGCACGTGCACGTCTGTACATGCATATTTACACATGCTCAAACATGCAAACCTGCCAGTCGGGAAGACGGACGTTTTGAAGGAAAAGAGACAACAACAATAAAAA